AGGAAGGAAAGAAAAAGGAAAGAAGAAAGGCAGGGGGAGGGAGGGAGAGAGGAAAGAAGAAAGGAAAGGGGAGAGAGAGAAGGAAGGAAGGAAGGGAGAGAGGAAGGAAGGAAGGAAGGAAGGAAGGAAGGAAGGAAGGAAGGAAGGAAACTGAACTGGGAAGGGCAGGACCAAAAAGGCCACCCAGCCCGGCTACCTATGTGCCGTCTTGTCATTTCCACCGTGGCGTTCCGGTTGACGTTGGAGAGCAGCCCTAGGCAGAATCGCTCCGAGTTGGAGGGGTCCGTGAAGCCGTCGACGGTCAGCGAAGGTTGCGATGCGTGGAACGTTTCGCCCACTCTCTGGTTGAGTTCGTAATATGCTATGGAACACCAAAAGGCCGGCTCCGAGTAGGTGACCGGCTGCAAGTCTGGCAGGGGGAGAGAAATCATTCTTTAAAATCATTCTCAGTAGCCACGATTGGGCAACAGTCTGGCAATCCTGGTTCTTGAAACAGAACTGGCACGGTCCTGGTTGGCAACGAAAGCGCCATCAAAAAAGCTCTGTCTGAATGGGGGTCCAGGGACCTCCTTCACTTACTCTAAGAATTGCCCTTTCAACGGGTAAAATAAAAATATAATACATTTTATTTAAAAAAGTATGATTACTCTAACTCAGGGGTCTTCCAACTTGGCCCTGTTAATGACTGGTGGACTTCAACTCCCAGAATTCCTCAGCCAGCTTTGCTTTCCTGGCTGAGGAATTCTGGGAGTTGAAGTCCACCAGTCATCGAAGGGCCAAGTTGGAAGACCCCTGTTTTAAACCTATGTGGCACAAAGTATTTCAAAAACCAACTGGAGGGTTCCTTCATTTTCCACGGATCAGTGATTGCTCTTTCCTGTGGTCCTGAAATCTCAGCAAGATTCAGCTCAGCCAAATGATCAACCATGCATATTATGAAAGTCTTTATTACACGGCAGGTCATCATTGTGTTTCATTATTGTTATATATGGCAATCTATTTCTGCATTTAGAATAATAAAATGGGCTGGGAAAGGGCAAAAGGAGAACATTTAGGTCCAATGGAGGAATCTGCAAAGCCAAGAAAGGGCTAATATTCTTTATTCCTTCAGTGAAGGAATAATCCACCAGGTCTGTTCCACTCCTCAACTACTTTTTACCTCAGGAAATGCTATAACACGGAGGTCTTCCAACTGGGCCCTTTGATGACTGGTGGACTTCAGCTCCCAGAATTCCTCAGCCAGGCACGCGTGCCTGGCTGAGGAATTCTGGGAGTTGAAGTCTACAAGTCATCAAAGGGCCAAGTTGGAAGACCCCTGGTTAAAACAGTGCTTTGTGCAATGACCCATCAGAGTACTGTAATTGCTCATATATTTGCTTGAAGACCCCTGGTCTGGATCCAAGCCTGCAGTTTTATCAAAATGGCCAACTGAGGAATTCTGGGAGTTGAAGTCCACCAGCCATCAAAGGGCCAAGTTTGAAGACCCCTGGTCTGGATCCAAGCCCGCAGTTTCATCAAAATGGCCGACTGAGGAATTCTGGGAGTTGAAGTCCACCAGTCATCAAAGGGCCACGTTTGAAGACCCCTGGTCTGGATCCAAGCCTAGTTTTATCAAAATGGCCGACTGAGGGATTCTGGGAGTTGAAGTCCACCAGTCATCAAAGGGCCAGGTTTGAAGACCCCTGGTCTGGATCCAAGCCTAGTTTTATCAAAATGGCCAACTGAGGGATTCTGGGAGTTGAAGTCCACCAGTCATCAAAGGGCCACGTTTGAAGACCCTGCTCTAATTCCTCTCGCAAATCTGAACATCTTAATTTCAGCAAAGGCTCCTGCCATCTCTTCCTTTTATTGGCAAGGGGAAAAATGAGTTTGCCTGGAAGTTCATTTTCCCCAGCCTGCCTGGGAATTAAAGCCCACAAAGTCTTAAAAGTGGCCCAGGCTGGACACCCCTGCCCTAAATCACAGGGCGGGGGGGGGGGGGGGGTTGGTTTTTTTAAACCGGAAACATGTAGCAGGCAGAAGTGCCAACTCATGCAATCTCTGCCTTTCTTTTTTTTTTAAGTTTTATTAATTTTCTAGTTTTACATTGAAATCTTTAAAATGCAACGTGGCGGCTGAGCTAATCGATAATTCGATAACCTACCAATCTCTTTAGCACAAGTCTCAAACTCTTACATTAAACGTTTCCTCTCTTTTCCCCTTTGTGTTTACGGTCTCATGTTTAAAACTAGTACAATTCTTATTATATCAATTCAATAAAAATAACTTTCTCTCAGAATTTCTGCCTTATTGTTTATTTCTGAATGCAAAAGAGGTTTTTATCTGATGCAGCTGCTGTTGGAAGGGTTCCCGGCTTACCTAGGCTGTGATTGACAGGAGAGAGGGTACTAGGAGACAGCTCTGCAGGCGATCCTGGGGAAGCAATCAAGAACGCGATTTCATTTTTTTCTCGCCTGCACGCGTGCACACACAAACACACACACACACACAAACACCCAGACGCTTCACGCAAATCATTTAGAAAGAAATCCAGATGCTGTATATATATTTTTTTAACAAACTACTATCCCATTTGGACACAGTAATCAAGAGAGAATCTGGAATCACTTTTGTTCCTTCCACTCGGTGAAATGTCGAAAAGATTGGAAAATGTTTGGATGAAGGATTGGGGGGGGGGGGGAAACTTTGATTGCCGTGACAGAATCTTAGTTCTAGTTAAGTAGCTTAAAATTTATCTTGCTCCTGTTAGCAATAACATAAGCAGTCTTCCAGTATCTCAGGGGCTGCCCCAAAGAAGAGGGAGTCAAGCTATTCTCCAAGGCGCCTGAAGGCAGGACAAGAAGCAACGGATGGAAACTAATCAAGGAGAGAAGCAACCTAGAACTAAGGAGAAACTTCCTGACAGTGAGAACAATTAACCAGTGGAACTACCTGCCTCCAGAAGCGGTGAATGCTCCAACACTGGAAGTCTTTAAGAAGAGACTGGACAGCCATTTGTCCGAAATGGTGTAGGGTTTCCTGCCTGAGCAGGGGTTGGACTAGATGACCTCCAAGGTCCTTTCCAACTTTATTATTATTATTATTATTATTATTATTATTATTATTATTATTATTATTATTATTATTATTATTATTATTATTATTATTATTATTATTATTATTATTATTATTATTATTATTATTATTATTGATATTCCTTTCTTATACATGTACTGCTGTATTTTACACCATGGTTTTATAGATCTATATAATTACATCGATATTATGGGTGTAGATTGTAATAAGATAACGATTGTATATTTGAGCAGGAAAAGAGAGGAGAGGAGAGAGTTGGAAGGGACCTTGGAGGTCTTCTAGTCCAGCCCCCTGCTCAAGCAGGAGAACCTATACCAGTGGTGGTGAACCTATAGCACGCGTGCCAGAGGCGGCACTCAGAGCCCTCTCTGTGGGCACGCGTGCCGTCGCCCCAGCCCTGCCTCCCCCCACGGCCCCCTCCTCACCAGCAGCCCCCCCGGGGGAGAGTCGCCCCCGGGCGTGGCCTGCACGGAGCAGCACAGCCAAGGACATGGCAGCTGGGCAGCAGGGACAAGACTCTGCCCTCGCGTCCCGTCATGCGCAGTTGATGCTGTGGGGTGCAGGTGGAGGGCGTGGCCGCCATGGCGCTGCTGGGCTGCCTGGGCGATTTGCGGCCGGCCGTGGAGACGGTGGGTGGCCCTGTGGGCAGGGGGGGCAGGCAATTTTGGGGCACTCGATCTCTAAAAGGTTGGCCATCAATGACCTATACCATCTCAGACAAGTGACTGTCTGGTCTCTTTTTAAAAACCTCCATGGGGGCAAGTTCTGTTCCACTGGTTAATTGCCCTCCCTGTTAGGAAGTTTCTCCTTAATTCCAGGTTGCTTCTCTCTTTGGTCAGATTCCAACCGTTGTTTCTCGTCCTGCCTTCAGGCGCTTTGGAGAATAGCTTGACCCCCCTCCTCTTTTTTGTGGCAGCCCCTCAACTACTGGAACTCTGCTATCATGTCTCCCCTGTTTCTTCTTTTCTTTAGACTGGCCAAACCCAAATCCCGCAGCCGTTTTGGTCTCCAGGCCTTGGATCATCTTAGTTGCTCTTCTCTGAACTTTTCCAAACTCTCAACGTCTTTTTTTGTGATGTGGTGACCAAAATTGGCTGCAGTATTCCAGGTGTGGCCTCACTAGGCTTCTTAAATCAAGGACTACCCGAAACCCATTAAAATACTGCTGCCTGACCTCAATATTTGGACTTTTAGGAAATTAAAAGCGGAATTTAAATCGTGATGTTTTATCGGTGCACTTCCTTCTCCCTCTCATCAACTGCGATACTTTACGCTAATTCTGCTATTAAGCCACTACGGATTGTTTACACCAGTGGTGGCGAACCTATGGCACGGGTGCCAGAGGCGGCACTCAGAGCCCTCTCTGTGGGCACGCATACTGTCGCCCCAGTCCTAGGCCTTCAGCTGGGTTTTATAAAACCTTTTCGCTTTAGGCCTCTGCCGCCGTGTGCAAAAAAAAAAAGGTTGAATCAATCAGTCAATTTCAACTTCTCATGGGGAAAAAAAAGATCTTGCAAAGTTGGAATTGATTGATTGAACTTTTTAGTCCCACCCAGTCTGCCGTTATTACCGCAGCCATGCCCACCCAATGGGCCACACCCACCCAATGGGCCCCACCCACCCAGCACCCGACGGTGCATAAGTGGGTGTTGAGTTGCAGATTGGGCACTCGGTCTCTAAAAGGTTTGCCATCACTGCTATATGCCATATATATATATATATATATATATATATATAT